AGTATTTATTCACAGAAGTAAAGCGTCGTGTAAGGTTTCTGTAACGGGCCGATATCATTGGAGGAAGGTTGTGGGCCACACCACCGTCTTAACCTTACCGAAGCCTGTTCCCGCACCACGTTCAGGCCCTCTCGGGCAGGAAAATGATGATCAACTAATGTTATACTTAAAAATGAAAATGTATAAGTATGATTTATTTATACACACCGCAAACAAACAAGTTTGTCAATAGGGTTTTTGACCAGTACAGACGTTTTGACTCATCCCTTGCGGGCCTTCTTTACGGTGGTCCAGGTTGATTTCCGCAGTAGATTTTGTGGTCGAGAGCTGTTGTGATTCTTGCGGCCAAAGGTGACTTTTGGTCCATGCTGCTCATGGAATAATTTCTCGATAACGGGTTTCACAAGGCTTGCCCAGTCCGTGCAAATTTTTCATCCTTTCTCCCGGTTACCTTTAACCATTTTTTATATTTTTACGTTCAGTTCAGAGTATGATTACCAACATAGGAACAAAATACTCAACGTTACTAGTGGTGGACCGATTCAAGGTTCACAACACAAAACAGCAAATGGTTAAAGCTTTATTACTAACGTATTTCCCTACATACACAGTAACATCAAAGGTGCTGCACACCAGTGGCTACATGAAAACTCTTATATGTAACAAGCGAACAGTGCAGTTGTTTACTGATTAAAATATATTTATGAAACAAACTGACTGTCAACCGCTTGTCCAATATAAAACCAGATTGTTGGCTAAGAAACGCGATAACATTTACAATACATTCAGAATCAAAATGCAATTGGATCTTCGTTATGTTGACCTGATCTCGTGTATGAAATTCGTGATTGCGCCCCAGCTTTCACTTATATTCAAGAGAATGTGTATTAATTATGCATCCGGTATTTCACTACCGGTATATGCAGAGACTTCTTTATCAGTAGACTTAATTTAGAATTGTCCATGTCTATCACAGGCACATTCGTTTAACGGAAAGAATGCCTTTCAGAGATTACTTGCTGGCAGTATCGGAATTGTCGTGACATCAACGTTAACAGAATATCGTTTATTAGTTAATATTCAGATTATACGTTGGTAACGCGGTCGACAATCGTTTTATGTGCTAGGCATGTTTCATTCAGGAAACAGTGGCAGTGTTTACTTGTTGGATATTATTGTTTCAAGTTCCCTTTGATGTTCAATCCTGATGATGCAACAGTGTATGTGGTGAAACTCATTGGTTATAAAACCTTTTTCACTGTTATTTTTGTTAGGTAGCCTGAACCATGAATAGTTCAACCACCTGTCCATATAATTGCCGGCCCGGAAGAGAAAACCTCTAGCCAAAGTAAACAACTAATATCATGCTTTCAAATGAGTTGCCAAATTCGATAGCTATATATAGGTGAACAGTGGTGGGATTATTATGCCGATGACAGCCTTCTGAAGAAAAACGAACCGACTACGTCAATGTTGACAAGCACATTTAGCATTAGGTTTGATGTTATCCTAGGAAGACCATTGAAACATGACAACTCGAGAATAACTCACAGAGTGAACAGAAGTTCGAGGCTAACCAGAAGCAGCAACAGTATTTACGCCTTGTAATGTCTCCTCGTCATAGTGGCTAGTGTGCTATCAAGTGGATTGAGGCTAATTACAGCCCTGAAAGGTGATCGTATCAGTAAGGATGGCCATAAATCTCGTTTTTTCTGGTATGACAATATAAGAATACCATGTTCTTCATATTGTTCGAATGTCAACACCCTTCTTCGGTTCTGTGGATTTGACTGTTTTAGACGATCATCACTAAAGTCATTTTTTCTTTTTCCGCATTCGAATCTCGCACTTTTCACCTACGTCCATCTCCCTCTCCTCCCGCCCAATTACCGTAGAAAATAGTTTCAAATCTGATCTGCGTTAGCCGATTGATAGTTATTTAAAAATTGACCGCTTATTAAAATATGTAGTAAACCTATTTGATGGAATATGAAGTTTGAACTTATTTGCTATAAGCGAATTATAAAATTTTTTATATCAGGAAGACCCGACCACTGTATGCCCATGAAGGTCAAAAGGCGAATTTCCACCAATAGCAAGGCGGTGACAGTCACGCCAAGATATTGGCCGCGTCTCAACTGGAAAGGCTTAAGTGGAGGACAAAGTTTGTCCGGATAAGATGAGTGGCAATTAACTGTGGAGTCAAGCTGTGTGTTCTTGTTCGTCGGACTAGCCCTGCCGTCGTATCCATGGCGGTCGCATTCAGAAGGTAGGTGTTAAGTCGATGAGTGGAAGTCGCTCACAGATGGTGCGAACGGTGAGTGGCCAAAATTAAGCGCCTCAGCGATCGGCTTACCCACAATACGACACCCATCGGTGCTGAGCGTTGCACAACGGACTGGCAATGTTGGACGAACAAAGTGTCCTTTCATTCGACGACCTCACTCAATCCTTTCGTCAGTTGTGGTGATCGTTAAAATGACAGGTCGCGGCCGACGCGAATCAAAGGTCATACGGCCGGTTTCCATCGCATGACCAGCCACCACAATGACCAAAATACGATCCTTCAATCAATATCTAATAACCTTAGCTGATCATCCGTTCATCGTTATCGCTGCATGCTATTTTACGAACTTAAGTCGATTTCTTGCTTGACGGTACATCCCCTAAACCGCTGGTATTGTATTTGCTCCCCCTACCCATCTCGAGTATGTTAGCGAATTACAGTTCAGTGCTAAATTCGATCATGCCTGCTTGCTTCAAGAATAGTAAAGTTTTTATGCACGTTAGACGTCACACAGCTTACGTCATCACTGTTGCACCATGCTGAAGTGAATACAGATGAATTTGGCCCGGTTAAAAAAGTGTCAAACACGAGTGTTAAGCATCGTTAACTTTGTCATTTGCCCTCATTGTATTGTCTCTGTCTAATGTTATATTGGTTGTCCGGCTTATCAAAGACTGTGCTATCTGCTCAGGTAGCGAGGCAGATGGCTAAAATGCAGCGATCTGAGCCTCCTTCAGCTCTTTGCGCATCCATGGGAGCAGCAGCATAGCGACGGGTGCCGAAGATCTTGTTGGAGATTAAGAAGGTACCATTCAGCAGTGCTGTGGACAGAAATTGCAGTGTCAATAATTAGGGCACGTCAGTAAGATCAACGAGAACGACACCGACGGTGGGAACTCAAGGTCGGAAATTCTACCATTTTTTCACTCGGAAGGAAAGAGGCAAAGCTAGTTGATGAAGTCTCAAGGTAACAACCTGACATGGTCGGATTCTTTTCAATGAAATGGCAGATCTGTGAAATTCTGAATCTCTGGGAGCAGAAACGTTTCTACCGAGGTGTGTACTCTACGACCGGTGATCAGGGTGTCATTGTTCTGATGCATTCCAATATCTGATGGAATCATTTCCGACTAAAATTGCAAGAAGCGAAGGCTTCGTTTTTCTTACAGGTCTCTGCGCGCAATTCGCAGGGAGAATATGAGTCCTTCGTGTAGAAAGGAAAAATCATGTGATTGGAAACACAGAGCTTACCGACCTGAACAGTTACGACTCCCGAGTTGATGTAGTTTTGTTCAATCAGTGCACTTTCTTCTTTGAGCATCGAATCGTGCGTAAGTAATCGTTTTACAGAAAGGTTCTGTGATAAAGCTCACTGATCGGTTTAATAGTCTATCGTCTGAGTTGCGACCCTCTGCAATGGATGTCAGCGTTAAGAGAGGCGCAGAGCTCTCAGCTAATTATCATTTCTGCCAAATATGGCATTCCATGCGAAGACTTTATGTCAGAAATAAAAACTGAGATTCAAATAGAGAGAGGGCATATTGCCTTGTATCAGTGTGAGGACGAACCCGGCAAATAACACGGCACAATGTTTCCGGCTGACACTTGAGGTTGGAGGCAAAATATCTGAATAAATTTAGTCTATGGACGCTACTTCTCGAGATTGAGAAATTACGCCGGCAGTGGTTTGTGAATGCATTCAGAAAGGAACGCTAAACAGCTAGAACTTACTGAACCCATCGATTAAAACCTCTTGGAAGGATAAGAATGTCCTTGGATATGTGCCTTCTCTGACTCTGGTAATTTTTTGCGCAAATTCAGGCAATGGAGCAGGATCAGGAACATTGGAAGTATTAATGAGACGCTGCTGACTCCGTTGTCCGGAAATTTATGTGACGGTCGAAAGTGACTGTTGGGTGACTAACTACCAGCACTATATTTTGAATTATCTTCTGTCGTATGCTGGAGGAGATGACTAGCAAACTTATATTTCAATGTTTAGATTTCTAAGGCAGTAAATGGCCGCCGTGGCAGCATTCTGGACATCAGTTATGCTACCGTCGAACTTTCGCATAGGATATTCGGAAATAATGTGCTGCGTAGTCTGATCTTCACGATCGGCAGTCACACTGCGGGCTGGACTTCATCTTCCAGCGATGTAGTAGGTTCCACAGGGTATTTGTCCTATTCGAATGTAATTTGATCTCAACTATTCTAGGCGATTCAAGTACATGCCCGGGGGTTCTGTGGTCGGTTTGGAGATTAGGTCTTTATTGTGGACAGCTGTAGTGTCCCACTGCTCGTCACTGTTCCTCGATACTCAGACGCGGTGTCGTTGCCCTTTCCCATGGTGGGTGGCGTGATTTCAGGCATCGCACTCGAGAACACGATGAATGGGTAGCTGGCGATCACTATCAATGTTCTGAAAAATTCGATGCGCCTGCTCGCCCCTCCGGAGGTGAAGAGGTTCATTATGCGCCAGAATCGGTAACCACTCTGTTTGGGTTGGCTTCAGGGTTCCTGTTACTGTTCGCAATGCTTCATAGAGCTGCACGTTTAATTTGCTTGTGAGCCTGCTGTGGCACTAAAAAGAGGAATAATTATCCGCGACAAAATACACAATAGCAAAGGCCGTAGTACGCGACACGAGGGCACCTCCTCCCCAAGAGGTGCAGACAAGTTTTCGTAATAACTTTATTCTGGTCTTGATCTTCTGCTGTTTTTTAGATGTATCTTAAACGTAAGGGTTCGACCAAGAGTGACGCCCAGGTATGCTGTCATCGTTTTGTGCTGCAGGTGTTGACCACAAAACTGAACTGTGAGTTTCTGTTTGACGAGTCGATTGTGCAGATGGGAAACCGCCGCGCAAGTCTTCGTCGGGTTCGGGTGTGGCTTCCACTGTTGAATATATTGCGTCATAACAGAGAAGTCTGACGTGAGTATGCAGCTTAGCATATGTAAATCGGTATGTTCGGTTGCTAGCGTGATGTCATCGGCATAAACGAACATCTTCCACACTGTTAGTGGGAGGTCGCTGGTATAGTTGTTAAACAGCCATGGAGAAACTGCTGTACCTTATGGGAGTCCGTTGTTAAGGATATTTTCCTTTCTCACCCACCCATCGATATGGACCCGGTACCGACGGTTGCTAATCATAGCTGCAATAAGGTGAATAGTCTTTTGGCACCTGATTATTCTAGCGACTTTGCACATGAAACCATCACGCCAGACTACGTCATAAGCGTATCATAGATCGATCAAAAGCGCCCTTGTTTTTTGTTTCCGTTGGAATCCTGCCTCAGTGAAGCTGGTTAGCGAAGGCAGTTGCTCGCAACAACTACGTCCAGATCGAAAGCCAGCTTGTTCGAATGGGAGGGCGGCTTGAATTACAGGAGAAAGTCGCGTCAGTAAAGTTCGCTCCATCATTTTCTTGACTGTGCAGAGATAGTCCTAGAACTGTCTGACCGCCTTGGAGGTTTTCCTGGCTTTAAGGACGTCTTTGGCACACCGCCATAAGGACGGAATTTTTCCGGTTGTATGGATTGCCGTGAAAAGAGACGCCTGCCACTGTAGCCCTTTGAACCAAGGTTCTCCAGAAATTCCGGGGAAATTTCACGCACAGCAGCAGCCTTCTTGTTCTTCGTGGCCAACAGTGCCATGTTTATTTCCTCTAGAGAGTATGGGGTGGATAGTGGGCTTGTTTAAGCGCAGCTGTTAAAATTAAGAAAATATTCTTTCTGCATTGTCGTGCATACGGCTTTATCTGTCGGTGTTTTAGGCGTATGGAGGAGGTGAGCAGCAATGGCGTCGTTGGAGACTTTCGCTACTCGCTGCTTCGTGGGTTCAGCTGCGCCAAGGTGGTGGAGCAGTGCCCATGCCTTGCGCCTAGAATGTGTGATATTCAGTGTTTCCACAATTTTCTTCCATCGTGTCTGCCGCTCTGAATTCAAGCATTCGACGAAAGCGGTGCAGTTTCTTTTAGGAGATTCTCGACGCTTGTATTCCATGTAAATTTCCTCTTTCGTTCGACCAGCAAAGGGTGTAGGTCTTCGGATATCCACGAGAGATGTTGTTTGTCGCAGCAGAGTTCAATATTCGACCACAAATGCCAAATGCTTAGGGCATAGGCAAGATCCTTTGAATACGCTCTTCGACTTTGGCATAGTTGACCTGTTTGCTTGTCGAAAGCTCCAGTTAGGTAGTGAAGCGAGTTGAACAGCGGCTTCTGCAAACCATTTCGGAGCACTACAGGGCAGAGCTGGCTTTTTGGAAAGAATCCAAGCACCGTTTTAGAAGCAGTAAGCGGAATGCTACCGTCTCTGGAGACGTAACAGAAGTCTGAGCTTCGGTCAGGCTTCCATCATGCTGATCTACCTAGCTGTTTAGCATCGTAGCACAAGTTTGCACCTGTTGCTGATGTCCAGTGGGTTAGTTGTTCACCCGCTGCATTGTTCAAGGTGTAACCCGGTATGATGGCTGTTAAAGTCGTTCGAACCAACAGTTGGGTGAAGCATCGTTGGTAATGGTGGTGTTGGCTAATTAGTTATATATGTTCATTAT